ACACCACAGGGCACAGGAGTGCCCCTGCCCACAAGCAAGGGGTGGTACCCAGAGTCTGGGGGTGCACCGGGGCCAAGGTGCCCCGAGGGCTGCACTTGCCCTGGTGGGGGGCCTTCAGGAGGAGGCACGTGCATTTGTCAGGTGTGTTTCTGCTGAGCCTCAGGCTTCTGCCGCTGGTAACACAGGTGTGGAGGGCGTCACCCTAGGGAAGACCCAGAAGCCTATTTTCTCATCTGTGCATGCACACCCACATGCCTGGCTGAGGAGCCACAGGGCTAGTCTTACGTGAGTGTGGGCATCAGTGCCTGGGAGGTGGTGCAGTGGTCCTGGGCAAGGCCCCATCTCAGCCGTGGGCTTCACTGACCTGCCACAGGCAGTGCTCTCAGGGAGCAGGCAGACCACAGGCGTCCAGAGTCAGCCCTCAAACCTCTCATGTGGGCCAGTTGGCAGCAGCGGCCCAGGCCAAGGCCTTGGAGGGCATGGGAGCCCAAAGGTTGGCCTCTGCCTATGGACGTGCCTTGCAGATGCAGGCAGGGGACACACCACACCCAGCCCTGGGCTCTCAGGGAAACAAACCAGACAGGTCTCGGGGAGAGCCTCCCTTCTGTCTTACCCAGATCCCCAACAACGCTCTCACCCCAGGTGTGTCATTTTCACTTGGTTCTTCCTCTCTGCTCCTGAACACAGGTGGAAAGGAATCCCTGGTGGTCGGAGCCAATGTCTGTCCCTCTTGCTCAGCAGAGCTGGGCTGTACTCAGGCTGGTCTCCGGTCCTGCCTTGCTCAGGCACAGCAGGGAGAAGGGCCGCAGAGGGCCCTGGGTGGGCCCAAGGCAGACGGGTGGCCTTAGGAGGCAGAAAGAGCTGGGCTCAGCCACCTGAATGCCCACCTCGGCCCCTTGGTTGTCCTGGGCAGCCTCTGGCCTGGAAGCCTCCGGCTATTCCCAAGGCGTGGGTGCGCAGGCAGCTTTTTTTTTTTTTTTTTTATAAACCTACTTTTGTGGTGTGTGTGTCTTTCTCCCCATTACTACTGCTTTTCATTTAAAATGTTATCTCCCCCCTTCCTGTCCTTCATGCCCCCCCAGGGGGAAGAGGGGAGGCCCAGCCTCACCCTGGTGTAGTCAAGGTTATGGTGATAAATCCTGGGGCATTGTCACTTCTATTCGGAGTAAATTGGCTGGCCGCTTTCGGGCTGAAGGAAAGATAATTTGCTGTAGTATTTCAAATGGATTAGAAATGGATTTGAAGGGAAAGTTCATGCCTCCCATTACAAAGGCGAGAAGGAAGACTATCTTAAGGCACTGTTCCCTCCCTGGCCTTCATTATCCACGCTTAATACCTTTCCTATTTTCCGGCGTTAATGAAATTTCCTGGCGGCGTGGGCCTGCCGGACGGATGGGAGAAGCCTTTAGATCTGCGGGCTCCCGTTGCAGAAAAGGAATTACAGAGCTTGCCGTGAGGGCAGGCGCGTTCTCTGGGTCCTTGGCCCTGCTATTATCTCATTAATTTTATCCCCTCTTCTCAATGCAGTTCGTTTCCAAAGGCTATCCTCTCTGTTAGGGTCACAATTTACTGGAGTGCTGTGACACCCATGGCCATGAAAAGCTATAAGGCCCTGCCCCACACCCTCCCAGCACCCTCCTAGCTATAGGTTCCAAAGCCAGGCAGGCCCTACCCTTGGCCTACTTGGGCCCTGAGGTTCTGGCCAGGCCTCCCCAGGTCCCCCCACATCATCATCCTAGGACGCAGCTTCTCTGCATGAGCCTCCCAGGCCCCTGGGGGTGCTGAGCAGCAGACAGCATCTGTCCCCATTCATTGGAGGCCTGGGAGTGTGCATGTGCACGGAAAGTGAGCAGCGCCTGGGACGGTCGGGCAGAGGGGCTGCCATGTTTCCATTCTGCCAAACAGACCCACGAACCTCCTGTAGTTGCTGTCAAATTCCAGCGAGTTTTGTTTTGGGGAGGGGAGAGAAATGGACAAATGGATTGTTCATGTTCACCTGTGAGAATAAACGTGGGAAGAAATGTCACCCAAGATGTGCCTTTCAGCTGTGAAAACAAATCATGAAAAGTGGCCGCTGGCGAGGTGGGTTGCTCCACATGCAGTTACAGGCAGAGTGAGCATGGCCACAGCACCCGACCCTGAGCCCATGGCTGGCTCCTGGCTCCTGGGATGGGCCCATTAGCAGCACCAGACTGAGGCTCCTCTGTGCAGAGCTGAGGGGCTGCTGGACTTCATGGGGCAGGGATGGTGCCCTTGTGCCTGGAACTGGGGCATCCTGGAAGCTTCCCACTCCTCCTGCCCCTCGGAGGCCCTGCAGGTCTCTGCCTCCACCGGGCCCTCCCTGGGCCTGGCCTGCTCTTTCCACAGCTGCATCATGCTCTTTTAGTCCTGTGGCTTTGCCCTCTGGGCTGTCCCGGGGGAGGGAGCAGGTGCTGCAGCTCTCCCTGCTCGGCCATGACACTGCTCATGTCAGCCCCTCAGGGCCCCTGGGGAAAAGGGCACAGGCGAGGGGATGGTGGGCTGTCCCCGTTTGAACCTCAGTCAGGGGCATGTTCCCTCAGGTGAGTTCTCGAGGGGCTGGGCTCCTGGGATGTCCCTCCCTCCCACCTTCCCAAGGAATCCTGAAGCCAGGCCTAGGAGGGGAGCTGGGCATGGGTCCAGTTGCCTGCCTGTCCCTCCTGCTTCATGGTGGCCTGGGCTGTGGCTGGAGGGTAGGACATGTAGGAGTGGTGCTGCCCTCACAAAGCCTACTGGAGGCAGTGCCTGAAGGGGCCCCAAGTGGGGGTTCCCAGAGGCAAGGACTCCTGCCCGGTGGTATGATGGGCAGAGGCTCAGCAAGTGGCCTGTGCTGTGGTATGGGGCTGTGCCCCGGCCACCAGCCCCCTCACCCTCCCAACAGTACTCCAGCCCTGGCTGATGGAGGAAGGGGCAGCTGCCCTGTGGACAGAAAGGGTCCAGAGAGGGGCAGTCGTAGGGCCCTATCCCTCACGCCCGGACTGGCCCCAGTGCACACTGAAGGTACAGGGCAGGTGCCCTGAGGCCAGAGCAGGCCATACCAGGGTCCTAAGGTCTGACAAGAGCCTGGAGGTCCGAGTCTAGCTGATCGCCCCCTCCTGCCCAGATGGTGCCTTGTGGTGGGGGCAGCTTAGCCTGTAGGACGCAGCTGGGATGGGCGGGAGGTGGGGGCCAGGCAGACCTTGCAGCACAGTGAGGCCCCATGGTGGGCTCTTTCTCTCCAAGATTGGTGTTTGTGAACTTGAATTTTAATTAAGGGAAACTGGGTTAAGTGCTTCCCGAGTCGTGTTTGTACTTACACCGCAGCTTCGGTCCCGAGCGCCTGGCTGGCTCTGCTCCCATTATCTCTCTAATGGGTCCTCAGAGGACACGGGCTGGTGAGAACGGCCCCAGCTTGCAGATGAAGAGACCAAGGCCCAGAGGAGCCACAATGCTGAGTGGTAGAGATGGCAGCTGAGCCCAGGGCAGGACTGCTTGACCCCTTGGCACCTCCTTTCCTGGTGCCTGCACCCCAGTGGCACCTGTGGCCTGCCCCGTCCAGCCAGCCAAGCAAGCCAGCCCCCACCTCTGTGTATTCAGCAGACCTGGGTCTAAGGGGCACACCCCCTAGCTGGGAAATGATGATCTGCAGCTGCACACAGGATCGGGTACCATGTGCTCCCAGGGGACAGGCCTGTGTCTCGGGCTTGGGTGGGCTGTAGGCTGTGGGCACAATGGAGGACCCAGGAAGGAGGGGCGCAGCCCTGGCTGGCCATCCTCGCCTCCCATTTGAGCTGCTCCCTCTGCCAGCCCACAAGCTGTTGCTGGTGGTGAGGGCTGCCCCCACCATATCCTTGGGGTTCTGCCGAGAACAGCCCAGCCCTCATCTGCCCAGATGTGCCCACGGGCACAGTGTGTACACTCAGTGGTCATAGCAGCGTGAGCAGAATCTAAGCTAATAAGGAATTAAGCTCAATTTGGTAAGCAAATCACTGCTGAAATGTGCCCTGGCAGGGGAGACCCACCCCCTGTGGAGGTCTGAGGACAGCCTGCCCAGGCGACAGTGGGGGAGTGACAGGGAGCTGTTGCGCGGCAGGTGGCTCAGGGGCCTGCTCCCCACTCACTCAGCCCTTGGGCTTCCCTGGAGCCTGTGGGTGTCTGGCAGGATGGGGCCCAGGTCCTACTTGGGGCAGGGGGTAGGGGCAGGGAGGACGGGAGGGATCAGGTGGCCACCTGGGCTCAAGGCCCATCGGCCCAGGTCTGCTTTTCTGGCCAGAGTCACTGGTTCTGATAATCCCAGGGACTCTCTTTGGCCTCGGACCTTGATGCTACTGTGGCGTTTCCCTAGCAGCTGCCTGGTTGGGGGTCTAAGTGGCTGTACCCTGCCTGCTCTCAGTGCAGGGCTCTCTGAGCGGTAGATAAGGGGGATGGGCAGCACAGCTTGCTGACCCCGTGTCGTCCGCTGTTCAGGGTGGCATGTGCTGCAGAGGAGGCTGCCAGCCTTGGCACAGATTCAAGGGCTGCCTTAAGGCAGTTGCCAAGGGCCAGGGCCCTGCCCTGCACTCCTCATCAAAATGTAGACTTCTTGGTGGACCCTCCACCCACTGCAGCCCCAGGGAACCCTGCCCAGCCATGCCCAGCCAGGTGGGCAGGGCCCAGGGGTGATGATGCCCAAGGGAGGGGGATGTGTGCATGTTGGAGGAGAAAGCTGTCCCCTCCCCGGAGCCCTCTAGGGACTCGTAAGCCTCCAGCCTGGTTGGAGGGGTTCTGCATTCCCTGGTGAATGCCACCGAACTGTCTGTCCCTGGGGGGCACGGAGGAGCAGGGGACAAAGGTCTCTGGGTGGCTGGGCTGATGGCCTGTGGTCTCCCTGCTGCAGGTTATCTCAGGCAGAGGGTTCTGCTCTGTCCCAGTCAGAGCCTGGGCCTAGGCATGGCCCCGGCACTGACTGCCAGAGCTCCAGTCCATCCTGGGACCATGTCTGATGACATTTCCTGTCTCTGCAGGTCCCTGGTGCTTAATCGCCTGCGTCCAGCTACCACTGGGGGAGGGAAAGCACAGCATGGCTCCCCTCGGTGGTTGAACAAAGGCTACCGCTGCATTGGAGGGGTCCTCTACAAAGTGTCTGCCAACAAGCTCTCCAAGACCTGCAGCCGGCCCAGCGACGGGAGCAGCAGGCCCCTCCTCCGCACAGGTGAGGGGTGATGAGCACTGCAGGCTGGGCCCCTCCAACTCCTGACATCTCATGGCTCCTCTAGGCCAGGTGCTCCCAGGGAGCCGATCCACACAAGCACTTCCCAAGTGGGTCACGTCCCAGCCTGGGAATTAATTTCACTCTTCGCTACATTCGGAGCCTTGGTAGCTGTCCCTCCCAAGGCCCACCGGGGCCGCCGGAGCAGGGAGGGCCCCAGGAGGCCCTACAGCCTCTGCCATCCCCTGGGAAGGGCCTCGCAGCGGCGCCCGCCTCTCGCTGGGCTGAGAGGCCCCTGACTTTCAGTGGGGGGCTGTGCACAGTGTCTGTGTTTTGCTCTTGGACAAAGGATGAGCCAGGTATGGCAAACACGCCCGGGTGAGTGAACACCTGGGGCCACGGCGCCCTGTAATCGCATTGGTGACGCCTCACCAACTGCGTCTGGAGGCGGCTGCCACCACCACCTCGTGCCCTCACGGCCCAGGAAACAGGCTGAGGAGAGGGAAATGCTTTGGATTCGCTTATTGTACAAATTAACTAGAAAAATATTTTGGTTTCAGTCCAATTTTACCCCCTTCCTTGTCCATCAGAAAAAGGCAAGATTGCAAGCTGTGTGGGGTTGCAGGGGCCTACTGCGCCAGCCCCCACCTACCAGAGGGCCCAAGGGAGAGGCCCAGCCCAGCAGGAGGTGGATGGCAATGGCAGGGTCTGTGGGGTCAGAGGCAGGTGAGGCACGCCTCCCAGAAGCCAGTCCTACTGGCTGCCCTACCCACTGTGCTTCCAGGCTCTGCCTTTGGGATCAAGGAGCTTCTGAACTGCCATTTTCCAGACAGGACACATAGGGAACGTGGTTCCCAAGGAGAGGCACCTGTGTTCTGCCTGGCCCCGAGTGCCTCAGTTTCCCATCCATGCCTCTAGGGACTGGCTGCTCGATCTCCTGGGGCTGGGGCTGTGGTCCCCAACCTCCAGGCCAAAGACTAGTAATGGTCCACAGCCTGTTAGGGACCAGGACACAGAGCTCTGCCGTCCCCCACCCCCAGTACATGGAAAAAATTGTCTTCCATGACTCAGTGGGGGCGGGGGGCGGGACACATAATAGGAGGTGAGCGGAGGGCCAGCAAGCAAAGCTTTATCTGTATTTACAGCCACTCTCCATCTCTGGCATCACCGCCTGAGCTCCGCCTCCCTGCCCCTACCCCCCAACCCCTGCCACCACGGTCCATGGAATTATTGTCTTCCATGAAACCAGTCCTTGGTGCCAAAAATATTGGGGACCACTGATTTAGGGAATAGGCCCTCTTTTCACCTGGCAGGGCTCATGCTGGTCACCTCTGAGCCCAGAGCTTAGAGCTTGGTAGCCCATGGGGCCCCACACACAGCTGTTGGCACTGCAGAGGGTCGGGGTCTTGGGCAGGGGTCTCCCCTCTCCCAGCCTGTGGCCCGCTGCTGAGCCCGGCCCCTGGCAGGGCGGCCCCAGGCTGGGCAGTGGTGTGGGAGTAGACAGGGCCACAGGGCCTGCTGCACAGCTGCGTGGGCTTGCAGAGAGCTGGCAGCAACTGCTCTGCAGGGACATCAGGGTTGGCTCCTGTGATGAGGCCATGAAGTGGCCTCTTTGTGGGTCATACCCGCTGGTCCCACCTTCCCCTGGCCTCCTTGGCGTAGGGAAAGCCTAGCCTTGTCGTGAGTGTGCCCCCAGCCCCAGGCTGACCCTGCAGGCAAGACCTGAGGCCTGGGGAGGCCTTGGTTTCTCAGCTCTGGCCTTCCTCTCTGGCCCCAGAGGCAGGGGGCTGAGTAGCCAGGCAGAGCCCTGGGGCCCAGTGAGGGTGCCCAGCCCACAACTGCCCATCCTGGCAGACAGGCAGCCTGTGCAGTCCTCGTGCAGGGAGGTGTGGGGCTGAGAGCCAGCGATGATCCTGGGGGGCCACAGGTAACGAATAGGAAGCTTGTGTCAGTCAGGTCATTTCACTGCCCACAGGCAGTGCCCACCCGCTCCCTGCCCCAGCTCCTGCAGGGCGTGTCCTGGGTGCTGGGCCCTGGTGTCCTAGAGACATAGCTGTGGTGCCAGCCGGCGGGTGGTAGTCCTCAGATGGTGCCCTCCCCTGGGATGGCTCTGGTCTGAGCTCCAGGGTGCCTGGGCTGCTGCCTGGAAGATGGCAGAGCGTAGGGGGAGGGTGGGGCGGTCACACTTCTCCCTGGGAGGCTTCCGTGCTGCTCCCTGCTCCCCTCTGTGCCAAGTGCTGAGCCCTGCAGAATCTCGCCTTCGCATTTGCACACAGCAGAGCCAGGCGGGCACAGAGCCCCTGACGTCACTGCACTGTGGACAGTCCGTCCCAGCCCTTCCCTTGCCCAGAGCTGGCTGAGAGTCAATGCCACTCCCCCACTGCCCTGAGACGTGTCACACCCCGGCCCTGGCAGCAACCCAGAGCCCCCTCGGTTGAGCCTCAGCTGTGCAAGTGAGGAGGACCCAGTGCCCAGAGGTCCCAGGGTGGGTGGGGAGGCCAGCCTGCTACCAAGCAGGCCTACAGCTGCCCATCTCCACTAGCCAGCCTCGGTGGTGACTGTGAGACAGTCCTGGGGCTCCACTCTCTCCTCTTTAGACAGGGGCCATAAGTGCCGCACCCACCCACCCACCCTATGAGTTGGCAGGTGAGGGCCTCTCTGCCTGGCCCCCTGTGGCCCTGCCTTGCAATGAGGAAGGTATATTGCTCCCGGCTGTGGGATGCTGCTGACCAGCCCACTTTAATGAATAGTAATTAAAGAAATAAATCTCCCCCAGTATCACTGAAAATTTGACTTCATCAAGAAAGTGCAGCCCTCCTTGGGAGGGGCAGGGGCTTTACTTCCTCTCCTTGTTCCTCTCCGGGGGCCCTCAGGGACAGCAGCATCAGCTGTTGGCTTTCCTGGTTCCCTGAAACTGAGCCCCTCCCTCCCCAAGGGCCCAACTCTGGGATCCCTCCCTGCGTTCTTTGGCTGGGCCTGGCCCGTGCTGTGGCCACCAAGAGCTTGGCGGTGCCTGCAGTGGGGCTGTGCCCCAAGCCTGCCTGCCAGAGCCAGCTCCAGGGAACCCCCAAAGCCCCCAGGCCCATGTGAGGTAGACGTGGGCTGTGGCCTCCTCGCTGTACTGACCAGCCGCCATGTGTTCCTGGGCAAGCAGGGCCTCTGTGCCTCCTCTTCCCATCTGTGGCCTGCCCACCCCTCCCTGGGTGCTGTGGGGGAGGCCTCTCCCTGAGGTGCTGCTTCAGTCTTCCCAAGGGCCCAGCTTCCGTGTGCCTGGCGTGCCCTGGAGGGCCTGGTGGGCTTTCAGCTGAGCAAGTCAGGTCTGGGTGCAGCCTCTCCTCCGACAGACTGGGAAAGAGCCAGCTCAGCCCTGCCTGGTGGGGTTGGGGTCGGGCTGCCTGAGCTCATCCCTTGCTCACCTCAGGCACTGTCCCGTGGGCCAGGCAGCTGCTGTCCAGTGGGCTCTGGCCAGAGCAAGGGCTGGGATGCTAAGGAAGCTGTGACCCCAGTGGGCCCCCCTCCTGCCCCAGCCGCCCCACCCCCAGCCTGCACTCAGTGGGGGTGGGGCTGGAGGGAGCCAGCATCTATTTTGGGAAGATCCCGGGAAGTGAAAGTTCTCTAGAATGTTCAGCACCTTTTGCTCTCAAGGTTGCCGAGGGTTATAGAGTTGAACTTTTTAGCACCTCTCAGCAGCCCCTGCCTCTTTTCAAGCCAGCTACTTTATGTGCATTTTTTAACACTGCAAAGCATTTGAAAAGGTGCCTCCTGTTCTTGTCAAAACTACTGTGAGCCCCACACTGGCATTTTTTCTAAAGGGCAAACAGTGGAAGGGAGTAAACCCCCCCTCGGTTCCTGACAGGCAGGCAGTGACGTCAGCATGTCCCTTGGCTGGGAGCAGATGGCGCCACAGTGTCACGGCAGCCTGGGTGACAGCCTGGGACCAGTGCTCACTGACAGGCTGCGCATTTCGTCCTTGCCATGCAGGCTGGCAGGTGTGAGGGTGCGTCCCTGCCACCTGGACAGGGCTCCACTGGCGCCCTGCCAACAGGTTTCCTGGCCCCGGGGAGAGGCTGCCCTAAGCACCTTGCCGCCCCTGCGTCCTGAGCCCCCCCTTGCTGACCCTGTGCCCTGAGCCCCCTCGCCACCCTCCCTTTGCTTTTATCCCCCATTTCCAGCACCTGCTTATACCCTGGCCAGCAGACTGGGCTGCCTGGTCACAGAGCTCTCTCCCACTGGGGGTCCTGCCACCCAGCCCTTTTGAGACTCGAGACAGAGACTGAGAGTGGGGGGCAGCCATGGCCATTGGGGCCCCATGTGGCTCCAGCAGGCCAGTGTCCCAGCCCCCACCCTACAGCTCAGGGTCTCCTGCTGGGTCGAGCATCCCTAAAGGCAAAGGGCACAGCTGGCACCCCCCACCCAGCTGAGCCCAGGGAGCTGGAGGTGGAGGGAGGAGGTTCCAGCCTGCAGGACACAAAGGGCACAAAAGGCAGGGTCCAGGTTGGGTCCTTGAGAGAGGGAGCCCAAGCAGGAGATGGGCTTGGGGAGCCACTGGTCTATCTCTGGTAAAGGCTGCCCTGGGTGGGTGAGGAGGGACGGCTCTGGAGGCCAAGGAGCAGGGACCAGCTATTTGGGTCCAGGCAACTTTGGAACATCCCTTTTTAAACCTGGATGGCTTTGTCACCACCTCAGGTCCCCAGAATTTCTGAGTGATGTCACTTCTGCCTCTTGCCATGTATCTGTTTCAGCAGTCGCCCACAGGAAATCGGATCTGGTCTGGGAAGGGTCATGTGTGCACTTGAGGAACCTGGGAAAGCCGTCCTCAGTAGGCTCATGCCCAGCCCTGCCACCCATGACCCCGGGGGTGACTTTGGGTCTGTAAAAGGTAAATGGGGGCTGTGTAATTGGACCGGCCCTCGTCCTGCAGGCGGTCCCCTCCGTCCCCTACCCCAGCCCCACCTTGGCTCTCAGGATTCTCACTGGCCCAGCCACACTCAGCCCAGCATACCTCTCTCCTCCTGTCCCCCATCCTTTTGTAGGCCATAGTTTGTGATTGCAGAATGTCAGGGGTGGTCTCCATGCTTGGAGTTTTGAGAAATGTCTGATGAGGCACTTCCAAAATTTTAAGCAGCAGGTACCAGCCAGGATCCACCAGGGCTGGCCCAGGACCTTGAAGCTGTCACCCTCATCCCAGGACACAGCCTGAGGCCTCAGGACACAGTGCACAGATGCCCCCACAAGATCTGCCTTTAAAAATGTAAAAACCATTCTTGGTCCTACAAGGTCAGGCCACATGTGTGGTTCGTAGATCGTCTAAGCAACCCTTCAGATCCTGCACAGGTCCCAGTCTGGGCTCTGGCAGAGGGAGGTACCCCCCTACCGTCCCGTCCTTTGCAGCCACATCCTTTGCATGGCAGCCTCTGGGTAGCCAGGGCTGAGGGAGAGCCTGGAGAAATGTCCACAGGCCAGTCATTGGCTCAGCCCAAGGACCTGCCCCGGGGGCTGCCTGGCTGTTAGCATTCGCACCCAGAGGGAGCAGGAAGCCAGTGGGTGCAAGGTCCAGCCAGCACCCAGCATGGCCTTGGGGAACCAGCCTGGCGGGAGGCAGCAGGGACAGGCAGGAGTGTCAGCCCTGAGCTCTCATCCAAGCAGTCTGTTCCCTCCGTGGGGCCGCCTGGCTGTGCCAGTTCAGAGGTCACCCACAGGAGCCCTGCCCTTGAGAGGAGCCAGACACAGGGCCCGGCACTCCCCACCTTCAGTGCTGTGTCCAAAAAGGGGCCTGGCAGGGCCAAGGAGGGCATCTGACCCACCTGGGGAATGGGCCTCTGGGCAGTTTCCTGAAGGGGTGGGCAGGGAATGCGGGCCTGGCTGTGGACTGATGTGATCTGGGCCTCTCTCCCCCCAACAGGCCGGTTGGACACTGCAAGCAGCTGTAGCCGTTCCCTGGCCAGGTACTTCCTCGGGTGGGGCAGTTGGGGGGCTCCCTGCTCCCCCTCGGGCTCACACACCTCTGCCCTGTCCTCAGCCGGGCTGTCCAGCGCAGCCTGGCCATCATCCGGCAGGCGCGGCAGAAAAAGGAGAAGAAGAAGGAGTACTGCATGTACTACAACCGCTTTGGCAGGTGCAACCGGGGCGAGCACTGCCCCTACATCCATGACCCTGAGAAGGTGGCTGTGTGCACCAGGTGAGGGCCTGGGAGTCTGCAAAGGGCCAGCCCTGGGTCCCCCACCAGCCCCACTCAAACCCTCTTCTGGCCCAGGTTCCTCCGGGGCACATGCAAGAAGACAGATGGGACCTGCCCCTTCTCCCACCACGTGTCCAAGGAGAAGGTGAGTGTGCCCTGCTTCCCAGACCCGCTTCCCTAAGCCTCAGCCACCTGTCTCCAGGCAGATGGTGCCCCCAGTTCTCCCTGGGCTTGGGACCCACAGACCTCTGCCCCTGGCATAAGCAGCTGGCGCAACACCGTTGTCCCCATGGTAGAGTGGCTACTCAGCCACCTCCTACCCCAGCTGGAAGCAGCACCAAGAGCACCACACACCGCACACAGGGTCCCCTTCCCTGTGCTCCCAGCCGCAGGCAGCACCCAGCCTTGCCAGATCCCCCTAGTGAAGCCAGACCCCCTCCCAGCCCCCACCACATGCCCAGGGTGAGGGCCTTACCTGCCCCTTAAGGCTGGGATTGGTGAGGGGGGCTGTGTGTGAGGGTGCTGGGTGGCGGTCCCCTGGGAGGAGGGAGGGGTAGGAGGAGAGCCATGGCAGGGCTCATGGCCACAGCAGCACCAACCCCACCCCCAAGACCAGCACTGGAAGTGGGCAGAGCCGTGGGCGGGGGACGGTCCTAGGCAGGGAAGAGGGTGCCTGCCACCAGGGCCCAGGTTTTCCCGCTGTGAGAGCTCTGAGGTCAGGGGTCAGTGCTGGCTGGGGCACACGGAGCCTGGGGGCTGGAGACCCCACGTGGTGTCCCATGCCCAAAGCCCACCCACTAGCCCATAGGAATATCCAGACCCTGTTCGCTGGGCGTGGCCGCAACACCTGGGCCGGGGAGGGGCCTAGGCGAGTGGGTGAGGGGCTTCCGAGGTGAGGGAGGCAGCATGGGGAGCCGCATGCTGCTGCTGCAACAGCTTTTCCCCTTGAGAAACTTGAAAAGAATCAGCATTTTTCTCCCTAATAGAGCTTCGAAACTCTGTTGTGAGCAATTTGGAAATTCACGTCGAGTTTCGGGTTCATTAGCTCCCAGCTCCAAAGCCGGTGCACATTCCAAGCTGTCTAATGTGGACGCCCCGCACCAGTGCCCTGAATTAATGTTATTGTTATTTGTGTGGACGTGGTGGGGTGCAAACAAGGTTAATTGAAATGAGAATGCAGTTTCCTCTTGATAACGGCCCACTCTGGCAGCCAGGAGGGGCTGCGTTTGGCGTAAGAGTTGGCTTTATTATCCCTTTTTATTAGAGCTAATTTGGGCTCTATATCAAAAACCACATTAAGGGAATTGTCTACAGCCCACCACCGCCAGCCCCAAACGGGCCCCCAGCCCCTCTCCCCTCTGTGGCTGCAGTTAAAAGACAATTAAAAATAAACTCTTGCTCGTTAAATCACCCTTTGTTTCCTTGCTTTCTCCCTCCTTCCCTGTCTCCGCTCATGGCTCACCTGGGCTGCCTCTCTGGGTTTCTTCCTCCTCCTTGGCCTCAGACAGGTTCCTCTCCCCTCCCCACAGAAAGTGGCGTTTTAAAGCCTCTGCCGCCCAGGACCACCCAGGGCTCCTCTAGTAGTGTGGGGCGTGAGGTGGGCAGACTGGGCCACAGCAGCTCCCCTGGACATCTGACCCAGCATAAGGAGGGGCTCTGTGTGGGCTCCAGGCTGAGGCAGGACAGTGACACTGCCCCAGTCCCAGCCTCTGCCCCTCAGGCCTCAGTTTCCCTCAACTGGGAGGAGGTGAGTTACATTTCCCTCTCCCAGCCCAGATGGTGATAAGCAGTGACCATGGCCAGCGGGCACCAGGGCTGCTGGGCCACACAGCCCTGCCCAGACCTGCCCGCCCACACCAGTCAGGGTATGCCCCAGGTGCCTGCTCCCTGTCCCCAGCCAGGCCTCCCTTGGGCTCTTTCGCCACTGGTCCTTCACAGTGCCAGCCCAGGCCTGCTCCAGAGCGACTCCCTGTCTACCCAGAGCCCACGAGTCAGGTCTGCAGAGCCCTCTGCTGGATGTCCAGGCCCACAGACTGCCCTCCCCCAAGACACAGAGCCCTGGAGGGGCTCTAAGGGCAGCCTAGGCCACGGGCTAGTAGTGGGGACCCGAGCTGCCATCTTGCCCACCCCCAGCGCTGAACACTGGGCAGCCTCAGAGCAGGAGAGAGATATGGGGGACAGCACACTTGAGCCTGGGCACAGCTGCCCCGAATGCTCACCCAGACAGAGCGAAGGCAGATGTGCTGGTCACCTCTGAGCAGACAGTCCTCTGCCCCTCAGCTCCTGCTGGCCGGCACCCTGTGTCTATTTACCCCTGGGCAGGGCCAAATAAGGGCCTCCAGCCCCAGTCCGTGTGCTGGCACCTGGCCACGGGGCCTTGACGGGCCACTGAGTCCTGGTGTTCTTCCTTATAAACTGGGGTGTGGACCCAGAAGGTGGGCTGGGGAGTGCAGACTTGGGGGCACGTCTGCTGGCCCTAACCACCCACCCCTCCCCCAGATGCCCGTGTGCTCCTACTTCCTGAAGGGGATCTGCAGCAACAGCAACTGTCCCTACAGCCACGTCTATGTGTCCCGGAAGGCCGAGGTCTGCAATGATTTCCTTAAAGGCTACTGCCCCCTCGGTGCGAAGGTGAGGGGGCCGAGGCTGGGTGCGGGTGGGCCGGTACTTCCGCAGCCTGGTTGTCCTTTTAAACACTGCTCGGTGCCTTCCATGGTGGCCTGTGTGAGGTGGTCACAGTCATCAGATTGGCCTCACAGATGACTCAGAGGTTCAGTGACTCGCCCAGGGTCACACAGCACTAGGGAATGGTGGAGTTTGAGCCTCAGGAAAGTGAGGCCCAGAGGACCCAGGTCCCCCAGGTGCAGCAGGACCAGGCCCTGCATGGTGGGGGGTGGCTGTTGCTAAGGGAGACAGTGGAGTGAAGGGATGTGGGAGGTCAGGGCTGCAGGTAGGAAGGGCCAGCAGCATCCCCGGGAAGGCAGGTGGTGAACAGGGTACTCCCACCTGCGTAGGTCAGAGGGCAGAGCCATGGGGCATCTTGAGCAGCAGCAGAGAGGCTGGGGTGAGTGGGGGCTGGAGTTCACTGCGGGGCACCCAGTGGGGACTGGGAAGCTGGTTGGGGGGGTCACCCCCAGGCTCACTGGGTGACTGGGTTTCCTCCTCCCCACGTGGCAGTTGCCGCCCATCTCACTGAGGTGCTCATAGCTGGGAGGGCTGTTGTGGGGAATTCCTGATAGCTGGGCAGATAGGGCTTCCTTTTTAGGCATCCACCCTCCTGGACTCACAGAGGACTCCCCTGCCCCCTCAGTGGAGGCCCGCAGAAGCTGCTCTGGAGGTGCCAGGGCCTCTCATTCCCTATTCCCCACCTGCCGTGGGGCTCCTGGCTCAGGCTGTGTAGGAGGGATAGTGTGGCCCTGGGCTGGGGGCTCTGGAGATCTCTCCTCAGTCCCTGGCAAAATGAGCAGGCCCCTTCACCCCCTACAAGATTCAGCCAGGTGGGCCAGCCCCGGGGCCTGCAGTCTGGAGGAGCCTCCCTCCCAGTACACAGTCCTCTACAGTTGGTTGAGCCCTTCCAACGTGCCCTCCTCCTGGGCCTGTCCACCCCACTGCTGTGGCCCACACCCACTTCCAGGGAGGACACGAGACAGTGGGTACCTGGAACTAGCCCCCAGCTCTTCCTGCCGCAAGGCCAAGGGCTGGACAGGTGGGCTCAGCGCCCTGGGGCCTGGCAGGGGTGGGGGGCCACAGAGGCCATGGCCGATTATTGTGAAGTGTTCCAATTTCAATGAAAATATCAAAGTGATATTTAAGTCCTGCTTCTATTAGTGGAAGTGCTTACTGCGTGCCTTTGGTGTGTCCGCGCTGCGGCTCCGCGTGATGGATAGCAGCTTGTAATTATATATGGGAAAGCGCTGAGCCGGCCAGATCCGCGGGAGGAGAGGCAGCAGCCTGGGCCTGTGAGGGTTAATTTTATTCTCTAAATAATATAAAAAGTGCTGAGTCGTCACCTTGCGCCTGAAGTAGAAGTCCTCAAATGGGCCCCAGAGAGTTTATAATATTCCACTGAATCAAGTGAAATTGTTAACCTTGCTTCATAAGGCGATGGCTTGTTAAAGAGGCGCATTCCCTTTTCTTGTGAATAATTTAGGCTGGGAGTAAATCTCCGCTCCTTCCCCTTTTGGGGGCTCAGAGGTCATCCTCCCCTGGACAGCCCAGCCCCATCGCCTCGTCGTCTCGGGAGCAGCCCTCCAGTCCCTCCTGGACTCCCAGACAGATTGAGGGATACAGGTCCTTGTTTGTGGGGTGCCCCTCACCTTGGGGGCTCTGCTGTGTTCTCACAGGTCGACAAGAATGTCGAGGGCCTGGTGCTGTTTTTTTCCTCTTGTACTCAGGGTGCTGACTGGGCTTGCCTGCTGTCTCGGTGAAGCTGATGTCCGCTCAGCTCCTCCATTGGTCTGGTCCTCTTCCCTGTGGGCGTGTATTTGTGGGGAGATTCTTTGAGACTCTGGAAAACCCCACCTTCACCCACGAGTCCTGACAGCCTCCGATGCTGCTTGTGTGCCGAATGCTGGTTCCACCGTGGCTCCTGCCGTTGCAAGCCATTCCGCCATGTATCCACCCCCGTGTGTTTCTGCCAGTGCGCACTCGGAGCCTGTTTATCCCATGGAGCTGTCATCCACTACTACCGCTTTTTAGTTTAATGCTCACCTTGCCCCCAGATGTGGCCAGCGGGAAGCCCTTGTAGCTGGCTCCTGTTCCTTGTGATGCACCCCAACATTTTTTGAGCACTTCCTTGCTTTTTAGCACAACAGGATGATCCAGCTCTGGAACAGCCTCTCCTCCAGGGAGCCCTGGTTGCTTCTGGGCATGTTTAAAACTCAGGGTCTGGGCACTCCATGTGCTTAGGGCAGCTGAAGTATCACTGCTGCCAGCCCCCATACACAGAGCTGGGGAACATCTGTGTGTGCATGTGCGGGGGGCAGTTACTGCTCGACACACCCCATCCCCAGCTCCGCTGCAGCCCCTGTGCCATGGGACTCTGCTGACTGCTTTGCTGGGCAGTACCCCATCCTGGCCAGCCCGCCCTGCCCGCCTGCACATGTTGCTGCCCAAGAGGGAGGATCCTGGTTGAGTCTTAGGTTTCAGCTCCCAGTGTGAGCTGAGTCACCAGGGATTCCCCCTTGTGGTGGCCACCTCTGCCCCTGCTTTCACCTGTGGCTGGCGGAAGCTTCTTGTGTCCTCTGGGCAGCACCTTTCTTGGTTTTGGTCACAAACAGTGTCTCCCTGTCCATCTCCCCCTCCTTATGCCAAATCCTTCATCTCTGATGGGTGGAATCCTTCCACTTTTTGCCCTGTGGGTCTTGTTTAGGATCAGTCTCCATCCACAGTCACAGAGAGCATCTGTGTCCACTGATGATGGCTCAAGTGGCAGCTATGGGTGAGGGGACTGACCACGGTCCAACCTGTCCCTGCCACCTGCAGCTGTGACCCTACAGAAGTGACTTCATCCTCTGGGCCTCAGTTTCCTTTTATGTAAAATTGGGATAATGTCACTACCTACCTCATAGGGGAATGGCGGTCAGTGTGGGAATTCGCAGCTGTGGGGAAGGCTCCCTAAGTGTTAGCGGAGTTAGCTGTTATTTACCTCAACATTGTGTGAGGTAGGACCTCACTTAATTTTTCTTCATGTAGTGTCCCCTCTAACTATATTCTAACCCTCTGATTTGTGATGCCACTTAAAACGAAATACGTAGACCGGAGGTCATGGCTCACACCTGTAGTCCCAGCACTGTGTGAGGCGGAGGCGGGAGGATGGCTTGAGCCCAGGGAGCAGTGAGTGCAGTGAGCTGTGATGACGCCACTGCACTCCAGCCTGGGAGATAGAGTGAAACCCTTGTCTTAGAAAAACAAAAAAGGGAAAAAACAGAAATAAACACCTTTATTAAGGTACAATTTTTTTATTTTTTTTTTTTTGAGACAGAGTCTCACTCTGTTGCCCTGGCTAGAGTGAGTGCCGTGGCGTTAGCCTAGCTCACAGCAACCTCAAACTCCTGGGCTCAAGCGATCCTACTGCCTCAGGCTCCCGAGTAGCTGGGACTACAGGCATGTGCCACCATGCCCGGCTAATTTTTTCTATATATTGTTAGTTGTCCAGATAATTTCTTTCTATTTTTTTTAGTAGAGACAGGGTCTCGCTCTTGCTCAGGCTGGTCTCGAACTCCTGAGCTCAAATAATCCGCCTGCCTCGGCCTCCCAGAGTGCTAAGATTACAGGTGTGAGCCACCATATTGAGGTACAGTTTATATGCCATACAATTTGTCCATTGTAGGTGTATGAGTCATTGGTTTTTAGTAAATTTACAAAGTTGTGCAAGCACATCACAGTGCAGTTTTAGAATATTTCCATCACCCCCCAAATTCCCTCAACTCTCTATAGTCAATCCCAGCCACCCTTCCTCTCACCATCCCCCCAGGCAGTACTACTCTTCCTTCTATCTCTGTACATTTCTTTCCTGGGCATTTCAATGTGAATGGATTCATACAATATGCAGCTGTCTCTTGGCGTCTTTGGTTTAGCACAATGTTTTTGAGATCCATGCATGTTGCAGTTGTGCCAGTACTTCATTCATTTTCACTGCTGAGTAAACCCACTGTGCGGTCACCACATTTATTTATCTGTTCATCAGTGAATGGACATTTGGGTTGTTTCCAGTTTGGGGCCCTTGTGCCTACTGTGAACATCCGTGTACAAGTCTTTGAGTAGACATAGTTTTTTTCCTCTTGGTTAGGAGTGGAATCGCTGGGTCAGGGGGGTAACTCTAGGTTTAACAACTACCTGTTTTCCAAAATGGCTTCACTGTTTTACATTCCCACCAGAAGTGAATGAAGGCTTCATTTTGTTTACCTCATCGCCAGCACTTGCCAGTGTCTGTTTTAGCTGTCTCGGCTTTATTGAGATATAATTCACCCATTTAAGTGTACAATTCAATGGGTTTTGGTATACTACATTATTAATTTTTTTTAATTGTGGTAAAATATATATAACACAAAATTTGCCATTTTAACCATTTTTAAGTATACACTTCAGTGGCATTAGTTACATTCACATTATTGTACAACCATCACCACTATCTATTTCCAAAACTTTCTCATCATCCCCAACAGAAACACTGTAGACATTCAGCAGTAACTCTACACTGCCCCACCTGGCAGTCACAGTCTACTCATCTCGATGAATTTGCCTGTTGTAGATATTTCATATAAGTGGAATCACACAATGTTTGTCCTTTCGTGTCTGGTTTCTTTCATTTACCATAATGTTGTCAGGGTTCATCTGTGTTGTAGCATGTATCAGAATTTCATTCCTTTTTAATGGCTAAATAATATGCCATTGTGTGTATATCCACATTTTGTTTATCCACTCATCTGTGGATGGACATGTGAGTTGTTTCTGCCTTTTGGCTGCTGTGAATAATGCTGCAGTGAACATTGACGTGCAAGTATCTGTTCACTTCCCTTGGGTAAATACCTAGGAGTGAAATTGCTGGATTATATGGTAATTCTATGTTTAGTTTTTTGAGGAACAACCAAATTTTTTTCCATAGTAGCGGCACCATTTTATAATATATT